ACCATCACCGTAATCTAATTCCAGAACATTTTTATCACTCCCCAAAAACCCCAGAGGAGTCAATCTGCATCCCTTCCCTCTTCTCCTTCCAGCCTCTGGCAACCACTAATCTACTTTCTGTGTGTATGGAGTTTTCCTTTTGTGACTGGCTTATTTCACTTAGCATGGTGTTTTCAAGGTTCACTCATGTCATAGCATGTGTCAGTATAAACCCCTATTTAACCATCTAAAGTTATCTCATAACTAGTCTTGTTTTATTTATATCCATGGCTGTCCCCCATCTCACCCCTAATTATTTGAAGCAAAATGCCAGACATGATATTATTTCATTCATAAATATTTTAGTATTTACCTCTGAAATATGAGGACTTAAAAATAATTCTAGTACTATTATTAAACCTAAATTGCAATAATTCCCTGACCTCTTTTTATAAAAATTGTCTTTTCTTGTTTACTTAAGGTCCTTGAACCCAGTTTGCCATCCCTGTTACCTAGTCAGGTTATACAGCTAATTTGCAACATTATTCAACTTGAATACCATTTAAGGCAAATCTATGGGATTAGGCCCTTGGTTTCTTTTCTTTTGCTTTAAGTTGCTCCTTTATTCCCTACTTTTCAACCACAGAGCATTTTGAAATGCTTGAGCTGAGGAGCATTTTTTTTAAACAGCTTTATCGAGATATAATTCTTATATCATGTAATGCAGCCATGTAAAGTGTATAATTCAATGATTTTTAGTATATTCACAGAATTACACAATCAACTTTATAATATTTCATCATCCCAAAAAGAAACCCTGTACCTCTTAGCAGCCACTTGCCATTTCCATTCAATCCTCTCTTTCCCCGTAACCCTTAGGAAACCACTAATCTGCTTACTGCCTCTTTAGATTTGCCTATTCTGGATATTTCTTATAAACAGAGTCATATAGTGTATGGTCTTTGGTGATTCACTTCTTTCACTTAGCATAATGTTTTCAAGGTTCTTCTGTGTTGCATGTATCAGTACTTCATTCCTTTTTATTGCCAAATAATATTTTACTGTTTGGATATACCACATTTTATCCATTCATTAGTTAATGGACACTTGGCTTCAGTTTTTGGCTATTATGAATAATGCTGCTGTGAG